AAAACGTGTTGTAAGCTCGGGGTGTCGGCTCACGAAGTTGTTCGCCCATCGGGGTCCGACGCGTGACGCGTCGCGTGCTACGCGAAGACAATCGGCCATTTCTAGAACGTCAGAGAGCCGGGGCGGAAATCCTCGAGTGTCAAGGTCGAGTACCCTCTCAAGCTTGGCCTTCTCTTCCAAGTCAGTCAATTTTCGAAGGTTGGCTGGTATTTCACGTCGTGGTTGCTTTCCAGCGCGTCGATTCTGGAGCGAGCTTCATGGGATCTCGTAGACCGTAGCAGCTTTTCGAACGGAAAGTTTAGGGTTTTTTTAAGAGCTTCGATTGCAAGGAAAATGCGACTCTCTTTTGGAAGAGGTTCCATTGTGTTTTGTGGAAGAAATTCGCGATCAAATTCGAGAGGTTGCAAAGTGAAGAAAAGTAGCCCACTCGTTATGCTGGCCCACTCGTTATGCAAGTACGTTATATTTTTTTGTTTTGTACTTATGAAAACTCATCTTAATTCCACGCCCTTTCCTATGCAGGCTTGTACCCAAGCCGCTTCGGGGAGATCTTCGATTATACCCGTATCCTAGTAAGTCAACCTGAACATGAACCACTTTGCTTCGAACGTCTTGACTAACTTCGCATTAGCTCTTCTACGGCTGCCCTCACCAGAGTGTGGATGTGTTGGACATGGAAGACAGACTGTCTAGATTCCTATTGAGCCACTTCGATCGGGATGCGCCACAGCTCCATGGAACGTTGGCTGCTGCTAGAGTCTTGCGAAAGCCGTCATCGACATAAACGAACTATTCATCGATTCCAAGCATGTTTGCCGTTCTCATTTGATAAGCATCTTCAACGGGGACAACGAGAGCAAAATCGACAAGGTAAGCAGAGTCACTCGAAGCTTTCGTAGGGTACCTAGGTACCTTACTTGATCCTGGGCTAACATGGAGGCCTATACAGGTTTTCGATAGTTTTTCTGGAACACTTGGAGTGCCCTTTGAGAGACGGATCGCTGGTGGAGTGTCTGCGCCCGAGGACATGAACGTCATCAACCCTCATCTCTTCAAAATCAATGGCCGTAAGCTTCGCTTTCCCATGTCGAATCATTGGCGCTTCAGCATCGACGATAGCAGGTTACCCTAACCAGCAGTGAACAGAGGTTTATCCTAATGATGCTATCCTTGAACAAGAAAGGGTTCTACCCTCGATTGCTCGGCCAACAGCTGCGCTCACAACGGCCGATGATCAAGCACACCCATTTTCCTGGATAGCGGAGAATGCCATATATAAGTCATGGTCTAGACAAAAAGTGCCTCAGTTACTCTATCTTCACGGTTCGTCCGGCGTCAGAGAAGCTGCTGAATTTGCCTTCTATGACCTGGACAGGAGTATGCGCAGCAACAAAAACGTCAACGAAATGGTTTTATACTTCACTTTCGACAGCTCGGACATCTGTTACGACACAGCGGCGGATATGCTTACCACATTCCTGGCACAGATCATTTGTCATAATCCAAGTCTGTCTGCATTTGTTGTCAGCCAGTTTGAGCGGTTGGCCATCGACCGCAGCTGGTCAGACTACGATTTGCTGACCTGGTTCGAGTACTACCGCGTCCGTGGGGAAGTGGATGGCGTTTCATGCGTTATCAATCACTTCGAAGAGTGCGAGGTAGAGTCGCGGACGGCTTTTTTGAATTTGTTCACCAAGCTTTCTAAAAGCCACGAGCGGCCTTGGAGAATCATCGTAACAAGCCGGGAACGAGGAGCGCTGTCGAAAGAGCTCAAGGACTGGCCCTTTATCGACCTTGATATCGCGGCCGCTGAATCCAATGGGGAGGCGAAAGACAAATCGACAGATCTTCTGTGATGTCGCCCAGAAAGTTCTTTCGGCTTAGACCGGACCTTTGGGATGACCAAACAGTCCAAGGGGAACTGGAAAAGATTTCTACCCTTGATATCCCAGTCCGGGATCTGGTGCTGACTCATGTCAGCCAGCATAGTGCATGGCCACAGAAGGAGACGGTCGAGTCTCTCCTTGGCCCTGTAAAGGACGCCTCTGTTGAAATCGTCTTTGACCGGATCATGGCCGCTGTACCGGACCCGGCGCTGGCACTTCGCGCCCTGTCCTGGATAGTCTATTCTGTTAGACCCCTGACGGTCTGGGAACTTGGAACGGCGCTGCTTATAGGCAGTGAAGAGGACGACGGTAAAAAGGCCACTCCGGGTCCAGCCTTCGTTGACGACGTTATATCCAAACTTCTGCGGTGGCTCGCAGGAATCATCGTCTTGGAACAGCATGACATCCGCCTTGCAAGTCCATATTTCAGAACACTGATCAAGATCGGCACTAGTAGCACGGACGAGAAGTTGGCATCGACAACAATACGCTCATGGGGGGGTATATGAATTGGCGCGGCTAGTAAAGACATCGTCGGGACTTGCATAAACTTCTTGCTTCGAGACGAAGTGAAGAAGCACCTCGAAGAAGTTTACGGCCAAGGCAAAAAAGGCGTGATGGATCTGCCGAGCTTTGGTGATCGCTCCAACTTGTGCACCTTCGCTGTGCAGTACTGGCTGGTTCATCTTGCCGACATCCCAGCTGACCTGGATCCTGGCAAAATACTGCGAGAGTTCACCGAGTCCAAGTCTGTCCCGTTATGGTCCAAGGCGTCCTGGGCCCATGCGAACCCAATCAAGAGGAGCCCGGCGGTGTTCACGTCTCTCTATCCACTCTTGGCTGGCCGCGGCCTCGGGCATTTGGCTGAGTCGCTTCGCGAGAACGACGAAGCGATATCAGACGGCTTGATTGAGTCTTGCCTCAGAGGACCCCTACGGATTGTCGATTCCTTGCTGAACCGCATACGACACAGCGAGGCAGCTCTTCAACAAGCACTGGTCGCAGCGGGCTCTAACGGTGATGAAACCATCTGGAAGCGTGTTATACACCACGTGAGAAAGAACTACGATCAGGATTTTGCCTGGCCTCCTTCACTGTTGTCCCGAGCAGCTTGGCTCGGTTTCAAGGATGTTGCCCTTGAGCTGTTGGAAGTTGGCTGCGACCCGAACCCGACGAACATGATCTAGGGGGCAACACCACTTCACCTGGCTGCTCGCAACGGCCACCGTGAAGTGGTCAAGGTGCTGTTGGATCATAAAGCGGACGTCAAGCACAGGGCTCAGTACGGCCTCACCGCTGTGGCCGTTGCCACGGTTTTTGGGCACGCTGAAGTCGTCGAGTTGCTGGTTACAGAGAGCGACGTGGACATCAATGCCAGAGACGAGGACAGCCTCACTGCCACCTATCTGGGCAGCCTATGGGGCAATTGGACGGCGGTCGAGACGCTTCTGAAGCTGGGTGCAGATCCAAGAATCGGCGACAGCGCCACTGGCGTTCCTCAGTGGAACCCTTTGGTCTGTGCAGCGGAGGAAGGGCATACCTTGTGTGTCGGAGCTCTTCTAGACGCAGGAGCGGACCCCAACTTCGTCGGTATCAGAGGCACTGCGAATCGCTATGCTCTCAGCAGC